GCGCCCCAGAGCCGTGGAAGGGACAGGTGCCGAGAGTGGCGCCACAGAGCGCAGGGCGGGAGGTGAGCTTGCGCACGCAGCGAGGAACAAAAACCGTGCCCCGAAACGACAGGCCACCTCAGGAGCGGCGACGCGGGGAGGTGGGCCTCGGCCGTCTCCCGCTGCTCAAGGGCAGGGCAGGCAGACCCTTCACCCTCAGCCCCAACGGGGAGGTTGTACCGCGCCAAGGGCCCCGAGGGGAAGACCAGCGAGGAGAGGAGAGGAGAGGAGAGGAGAGGAGAGGAGAGGAGGGGACATGCGACAGACCCACTCGCGGCAACCTCAAGCCCCTGGGGGAGGGCCCAAAAATCCCAAACAGGGCCCAACCTCCGCAGTTCCTGCAAGCCTCGTCAAAAACAAATTGACACGCCATTCATAGTCGAAGCGCTCGATAGTTCGGGCACTTGTCAGTAAACGCCTTCCTCAATGCTATGAGGGTGCTGAAGGATTTCGGACACCCCTGCGTCTGGGCCAAATACCTCATGCCAACATTGAAGTAGCGCCGACCCCTTTTTCCGTCGCGGCGCGGCAGAGGCGATCCGCTCGCGCGTCGAGCAACCCGGGCTACGGCGTTGCGAATCGTCCCGCATGCAAGAGGGGGGAGGGCCAGAAGAGGACAGCCGCGGAGGGGGAGGAAGGGAGGGGGGGCGCTCTCGCGTGGTGGCGCCGCACCGCGGACGGATATGGAATTCGGAATGCTTCCACCTAGCCCGATCGGCTCAACCGATCGGGCGGAGGTGCTCTGGTCTGGAGGCTTCCAGAGGGGGTCAGGGCAGAGGGGGTTGGGCCGACCCCCTGTGCTTAACCCCTCTGGGCTGGAAAAGAAGTTGAACGCATAGCGTCGGACCAAACCCCCTTCGCCCGAACCCTCTTTGGAGCCCTCCGGCTGGGGAACCCCCCTTGCCGTTGAGGTGTCTGCGCTCCACGCGCTGGACGGAGGGGAGCAGGGAAGAGGCTGGCCGCACGGACCGGACGCGCGTGTCAGCACTGCAGGGGCACACGGGGCCCTGGCACTCGGAGACCAGAAGACGCGGGCCTTCGCCTCCCCACGCCCCAGTCTCGGCGGGGCGGGCGGGGACGCCACCACGCTGCCGTAACTGGCGCGTGCCAGCTGGCAGACCCCGCCCCGGCGGAGCGAGAAGGAACGGAGAGTGAGCAGGGAGGGGAGGAACTCCCATGAGGGGTTCGAAGTCGCAAGATGATCAACGCCGAGCCGCGGGGGGACCGTGCCGCGCTGGAGGGAGGAGTTGGAGGAGCTGGAGAAGCAGACGATGGAGGGGCCAGGAGAGAGCGGGGAGGAAGACCTGGACCTTCAACGACTTGACTTCTTCGAGTCGTCGGCCCTGGGGTCTCGACGCCACCGTTTTCCAACCTCCCTGGGAAAACTAGAAATGAGCGATGCGCACGAAGATTTAGCGACGCGCCCAACTACGTCCAAGAGTCAACTGTCGACGTCGGCGGCAATCGGGGGCGCGACAGCGGCGAACGCGAGGGTGTCGGGCCCCTCACTCGCCATAATTCTGGCTAAATTCGGCGGGCTCCCCCCGAAATGCCGACCCTGGCATCCGAAGACGCGCAAGCTCGGAGAGGCACGGCTTTGTGAACCGCAAGCACCAGATGAACTGCCGTAGATACCACATAAGCAGACACTGCTGCTGCCTGGATAGTTGCTCGGCCGTGGAGCGTGCCTGGGTGATGGACATCAGCCGCAAGAGGGTAAGCAGTGCCACATGAAGATTCTCAATCAGACCGAGGGAGGGGGCGGCAGTCCAAATGTCTTCACGCACTACGATGCGCTACGCTACCCTACACTACGCTACGCTAAGGCGCTGGCAGCAGCACGCTTGTCTGAGTCACAACGCAAACTTACATTCCAGTATCCTATCCCCCATCCTGCCGCGGCCTGCATATCCTGCCGCCGTCCTTGTCCTCATTGTCCTACTCTCTGAGCCCATGTGTGTTGATTTTGTCAAGGACCCCCCTCGCTCCCGAGACTGGGTCTCCTCCAGGCTGACCGAGGTCCTCCGCCACCTGATCCGTCTCTTCCTCTTCCCTCCTCCTTCCCATCCTCCTCCCCCATCCTAATGCTGCTCCTCCGTCTCCTGCAAGTTCTCCTGCCAGTCCTCCTCCGTCTCCGTCGGCAGCCGAACGGGCCTGATTCCCAACACCTTGTTGGAGTCCAGCGTATTCGGCTGCCGATTTGGCTTTACAATGGGCTTCGACGCTGAATGAGCTGAGAAGGGAACCCCAGGGCATGCGACAGAGGGCCCCGAGACACGCCACCAAATTTAATCAAAGCTTTTAGGAACCACCAAGATCCAGAATGCTGAGCGGCGGGCGCACTGCAGACTGGGGGTCTGGAAGCGCCGATCTGTCGCCACAGAGCGTTGGGCAGACGCTTCGCGGGGGATGCACTCTTCGTCTTCCTCCCATCCCCTCCATCTCCTCCCCTCGGTGTCCCCCATTTTCCTCTTTCACTGTTACGGCTTCTGGTGGAGAGCATCGGAGAGAGCGCAGACGGGCCTCACAATAAACTATTGTTCAACACATCTCTGCCGCACTGCGGCTACTTTGGCTTAAGGCCTCAGCCTTGAGCAAGTCTCTTTGGCATGGAACGGCATGGCAAACATAAGTCATCCTTCTCCACCTGATTTCCTGCCCTGGGTTGCTCCTCCGAGCCCGTTCGGCGGCTGAGTCCGTTTGGCCGCCGACTGAGCAGCCAGGTGGACTCGTCTCCATCAGGAGGGTGGATCTGGCCCTTTCGGCACGCTCGGCTGCCGCAGTGGCTCGGCAACGCTTCCACAAACGGGCACAGGTGACGAACGGGTTCGGAAGGGGATCCTGGGCCCCCTGGAAGAAACAGACATGCGACGGCCCCCTGGAAGGTGATCCTGGGCCCCCCCTGGAAGAAGCAGGCATGCGACGGCGACGGCCTCCCGAGGCGGCGATCGTATATACAACGCCTCGGCGTGCCAGGCGCGACCGCGCGGCCATTCTTTGCGGCCCCCGCCGGCCCGCAGGGCGCGCGAACAAAGAGGCCCCTCGCTGCGACCACCAGTCCAACCTGATCGGCAAGAACGGGAAGCGCCGATGTTGTCCAGTGGGCTCATAGGGTGAAAGGAAGAAAACGATGATGGCGACGACAAGGCGGCGGATGACGAGGATGATAGCGTGAATGACGGGGAGGGCAGCGAGGAGCAGGTGGGCAGCGAGTAGGAATACAGGCACGAGGACGAGGAGGACAAGATGGAGGAGGACAAGCACGAGGAGGAACGAAGCGAAGGCGGAGGAGAAAGAGGAGGAGGAGGAGGAGAAGGACGACGACGAGAAAGGAGGACGGTAAGGAGCCCATGGAAAAGGACGTCGAAGAATGGGGGGGGGTTCGTGATCTTTTGAGGCTACCCTGGGGGCTGTTGGGGCCATCTGGGGATATCTTGGAGCATCTTGGGGGCCACTTGGGGACCTGTCGGGGTCCTCTTTGGGGGCTACTGAAATCTTCTTGGTGTGTCTTAAGGTTTTGTGGGGGCTGTCTCAGGCCGTCTTGGCGCCATCTTGGGCTGTCTTGGGCCGCCTTGGGACCTCATAGAGCTCCCTTGGGGCCCTTTTTGGGTCCTCTGGAGGGCCTGTTGGGGCTCTTTTGGGCCATGGTGGGCCCTCCCAAAAGCGAATCCAAGACGATGTCGACTCGGAGTCCCCTCCGAAGCAGCGTGTTAAGAACACATCAAGCGAAACGACCATTTTCCAGGAACCTATCCGGACAAGAACGGGAAACGCCGTTTCTCTGAGCTTGCGTGCGCACGCGCGCATGGACTAGCACATAAAATACATATGTGCAAATTAAGTGCCGTCGCTGGGCTCCCCCAAATGTGCAGATGATTGTCATTGGTAGCTTGTGTTTAGTGGTTACACGCGGTTGATTTGGTTAAATGATGCGCGTGTTCTGTGTACGCGTGCGTGTGTGCGTGTGCGTGTGTGCGTGCGTGCGTGTGTGTGCGTGTGTGCGTGTGCGTGTGCGTGTGTGCGCGTGTGCCTGTTTACGTGTGCGTGTGCGTGTGTGCGTGTGTGCGTGTGCGCGTGTGTGCGTGTGTGCGTGTGCGTGTGTGCGTGTGCGTGTGCGTGTGCCTGGGCGTGTGCGTGTGCGTGTGCCTGTCCGAACGGCACAACGCCTCGGCACAGGCCTGCCGCTCGCTCAAAGACCGGCATGAGCTGTCCCAGAGCTCGTGCAGAGGCCACGCGCAGGTGCTTGTCACTTCTATTAGATGGCATGCATTTGCGCGCGCGCCAAAAGAACCTCGACGTTGGCGTTGTCCCCATGGGCGAGACCGAGGAGCACCAAGCTTTGGGGCCCTTCAGGGCCCCAGATCTGGCCAAAATCGGCGCAGCTCCCACAAAACGCCGACCGCAGCATTCGTTTTGTGATTTGCAATCCAGGAGACTTCGGCTGGCACCCATGCATATGTAAGGCAATAACATGTGAACCCTACCCCTGCAGGTCAGATTTCTGAAACGCTGGCTAGGGTTCAGAATTCGAAGGATGCTTGCAGCCAAGTGAACCCCAGCGGGGGTGTCCGATACCCTAGCGTCGAGTGGAACCGCGAGGATAGGGTTCACAATTGGTCGCAGATGTGTACATGACGCCGCGCCGCTTGTCCTCGACGCGCCCAAGCGGACGACGCCGACACCACGGCAAACCCACGGTAAGTCCTGCGCCCCGCGCCCCAGGTAGACGACACCGCACCGCGGCAAACCGACGGCAAGCCCACCACGCCCGAGGCGGCGTTCGCCCTGGCGGCCGAGGCGCCCTCCCAAAGACGCAAGGCCGCGCGTCGGAACAAACGGCGCGCCAACACATCACGTCCGAAGGCGGGGCTGGGGAGGGCCTACCCCTAAACCAGCGGTGGCCGCAGCGAGGGCCTCCCGGCCCCGTGTGCCGCCCGCGCCGGCGCCTGCGCCGCGGAGGCGCGGCGGCAGCTGGCAGCGAGGGCCGCGGGGCGGCCGGGGTGAGCGGCCGGGGTCACTCCTGAGGAGGGCGGGGGCGCCCAGCGCGAGAGCAGAGACTGCCACCGCCACGTTCCTCCTCCTCCTCCTCCTCCTCCACCACCTCCACCACCACCTCCTCCTCCTCCTAGGCTCACTGCTCAATTTCGTAAACAGCTGCTCGTTCTCGCTTTCACATTTGTGAGCTCAAAGTGCAGCTCTTTCCATATGAGACTGCGTAGGCCCCTGACCCTGCGAGAGATTGTGGCAGCCATGACCTCTGCGTGCCTCTATGCCGCGTTATTATTACTCCTCGGCTCGCCCCCTCCCTCTCCTCCCTGTCCTCCCTGTCATCGGCTGACCCATATTCCGAGAGGTGTCCGGAGATCCTTGGATGCCTCCGACCGTGCAGTGTGTGTGTGTGTGTATGCGTGTGTGTGTGTGCGTGTGTGTGTGTGCGTGTGTGTGCGGCGTGTGTGCGTGTATGCGTGTGTGCGTGTGTTCGTGCGTGCGTGTGTGCGTGTGTGTGTGTGTGCGTGCGTGTGTGCGTGTGTGCGTGTTTGCGTGTGTGCGTGTGTGCGTGCGTGGGCGTGTGTGCCCTTGTGCGCGTGTGTCTGTGCGCGTGCGCGCGTGTGCACGTGTGCGCGTGCGCGCGTGTGTGCGTGTGCGTGTGCGTGTGCGTGTGTGTGTGTGTGTGTCTGCGTGTGCGTGCGTGTGTGCGTGTGCGTGTGTGTGCGTGTGTTTGCGTGTTTGTGTGTGTGTTTGTGTGATTGTGTATTTGTGTGTTTGTGTTTGTGTGTTTGTGTGTTTGTGTGTTTGCGTGTTTGTGTGTTTTTGTGTTTGTGTGTTTGTGTGTTTGTGTGTTTGTGTGTTTGTGCGTGTGCGCGTTTGTGTATTTGTGTGTTTGTGTGTGTGCTGTAGGCTTGTGTGCTTGTGTGTGTTTGTGTGCTTGTGTATTTTTGTGTTTCTGTGTCTGTGTGTGCGTGTGTGTGTGCGTGTGTGTGTGTGTGTGTGTGTTTGTATATGTGCGTGTGTGTGCGTGTGTGTGCGTGTGTGTGCGCGCGCGTGTGCGAGTGTGTGTGTGCGTTTGCGTGCGTGCGTGTTTGTGTGTGCGTGCGTGCGAGTGTGCGTGTGTGTATGTGTGCGTGTGTGTGGGCGTGTGTTTGCGTGCGTGTGTGTGTGTGCGTGTGTGTTTGTGCATGCGGAAGTGCGTGTGTGCGTGCGTGTGTGTGTGTGTGTGTGTGCGCGTGTGTGTGTGTGTGTGCGTCTGTGTGTGCGTGCGTGCAAGTGTGCGTGTGTGTGTGCGTGTGTGGGCGTGTGGGCGTGCGTGCGTGGGTGTGTGTGTGTGTGCGTGTGTTTGTGTGTGTGTCTGTGTGTTGTGTGTGGCGTGTGTGTGTGTGCGTGTGTGCGTGTGTGCGTGCGTGTGTGTGTGTGTGTGCGTGTGTGCGTGTGTGTAAGTGTGTGTGTGTGGTGTGTGTGCGTGTGCGTGTGCGTGCGTGTGCGTCTGCGTGGCCGTGTGCGTGTGTGCGTGTAACTTGTTGTGTGTGTGCTTGTGTGTGTGAGTGTGTGCGTATGTGCGTGTGTGCGTGTGTGCGTGCGTGCGTGCGTGCGTGGGCGTGTGCGCGCGTGCGCGCGTGCGCGCGTGCGCGTGCGCGCGTGCGCGCGTGCGCGCGTGCGCGCGTGCGCGCGTGCGCGCGTGCGCGCGTGCGTGCGTGCGTGAGTGCGTGCGTGCGTGTGTGCGTGCGTGCGCGCGTGTGCGCGCGCGTGCGTGCGTGCGTGCTTGCGTGCGTGCGCGCGTGCGTGCGTGCGTGCGTTTTAAGTGCGTAAATGCCTGCGCGCGTGAGTGCATGCGTGCTTGCGGAAGTGCGTAAGTCCCTAAGTGCGAAAGTGCGTAAGTGCGTGCGTGCGTGCGTGTGTGCGTGTGTGTGTGTGTGCGTGTGCGCGTGGGCGTGTGTGCATGTGTGCGTGTGTGAGTGTGTGCGTGTGCGTGTGCGTGTGCGTGTGCGTGTGTGCGTGTGTATGTGTTTGTGTGTGCGTGCGTCAGGACATGTGTGCGTGTGTGCGTGCGTGTATGTGTGTGCGTGCGTGTGTGCGTGTGTGTGTGTGTGTGCGTGCGTGCGTGCGTGCGTGCTTGCTTGCGTGCGTGCGTGCGTGCGTGCGTATGTGTGTGTTGTGTGTTGTGTGCTGTGTTGTGTGTGGTGTGTTGTGTGGTGTGTGTATGTTGTGCACGCTGTGTGCGAATGTGTGTGAATGTGCGCGTGTGAATGTGCGTGTGTGAATGTGTGTGGATGTGTGTGACTGTGTGTATGAGAACGTGTGCGTGTTTGCGAATGTGTGTGAATGCGTGTGTGAAAGTGTGCGAACGTGTTTGAATGAGGGTGTGAATGTGTGTGACTGTGTGTGAATGTGTGTAAATGTGTGTGAATGTGTGTGAATGCGTGCGAATGTGTGCGAATGTGTGTGGGTGAGGGTGTGAATGTGTGTGACTATGTGTGAATGTGTGGATGTGTGTGAATGTGCGTGGATGCGTGTGAATGTGTGTGAATGTGTGTGAATGCGTGTGCGAATGTGTGCGAATGTGTGTGTGTGTGAATGAGGGTGTGAATGTGTGTGACTGTGTGTGTGAATGTGTGTGTGGATGTGTGTGAATGTGTGTGACTGTGTGTGAATGTGTGTGTGAATGTGTGTGAATGTGTGTGAATGTGTGTGAGTGTGTGTGAATGTGTGTGTATGTGTGAATGTGTGGGTGTGCGGATGTGTGTGAATGCGTGTTTTTGCGTGGGTGAATGTATGTGTGTGAGTGCGTGTGTGTGTGTGTGTGCGAATGTATGTGTGTGTGAATGTGTGTGAACGTGTGCGTGTGTGTGTGTCAATGTGTGTGAATGCGTGTGCGTGTGAATGTGTGTGTATGTGTGGATGTGTGGGTGGATGTGTGTATGAATGTGTGTGTTAATGTGTGTGAATGCGTCTGGGTGTGAACGTGTGTGTGCGTGCGTGTGTGTGCGTGTGTGTGTGTGTGCGTGTGTGTGCGTGTGTGTGTGTGTGCGTGAGTGCGTGCGTGCGTGCGTGTGTGTGTGTGTGTGCGTGTGTGTGTGTGCGTGTGTGTGTGTGTGTGTTCGTGTGTGTATGTGTGCGTGTGGGCGTGTGTGCGTGTGCATGTGTGCGTGTGTGTGTGGGTGTGCGTGTGGGTGTGTGTGCCCGCGTACGTGTGCGTTTGCGCGTGCGTGTGCGTGTGCGTGTGCGCGTGCGCGTGCGTGTGCGTGTGCGTGTGCGTGTGCGCGCGCGCCGTGCGCGTGCGTGTGCGTGTGCGTGCGTGTGCGTGTGTGTGCGTGTGCGTGTGTGTGTGTGCGTGAGTGTGCGTGTGCGTGCGTGCTTGTGTGTGTGCGTGGTGTGCGTGTGTGCGTGTGTGTGTGTGTGTGTGCGTGTGTGCTGTGCCTGTGCGTGTGCGTGTGCATGTGTGTGCGTGGGCGTGTGCGTCTGCGTGGCCGTGTGCGTGTGCGTGTGTGTGTGTGCGTGTGAGCGTGTACTTGTGCTGTGTTGTGTTGTGGTGTGCTGTGGTGTGTTGTGGTGTGTTGTGTTTGTGCTGTGGTGTGTATGTGTTGGGCGTGCGTGTGCGGGCGTGCGTGTGCGTGTGCGTGTGTGTCTGTGTGCGTGTGTGTGTGATGTGTTGTGTGCTGCTGTGTGGTGTGTGTGGTGTGGTGTGTGTGTGCTGTGTGTGCTGTGTGGTGTGAGTTTGTTGTGAGTGTGGTGTATGTGGTGTGTGTGTATTGTGCGTGTGTGTTGTCTGTTGTGTGTGTTGTGTGTGTTGTGTTGCGTGTTGTGTGATGTGTGTTGTGAGTGTGTTGTGTGTTGTGTGTGTGTTGTGTGTGGTGTGTGTGTGTGTGCGTGGGTGTGTGTGTGGGTGTGCATACGCGTGCGTGTGGGTGGGTGTGGGTGTGTTTGGGTGTGTGTGTGTTGTGTGTTATGTGTTGTATGTTGTGTGTTGTGTGATGTGTGTTGTGTGTTGTGTGTTGTGTGCTGTGTGCTGTGTGTTGTGTGTTGTGTGTTACGTGCTGTGTGTTGTGATGTGTTGTGGTATGTTGCGTTGTGGTTGTGTCATGGTGTGTGTGTGTTGGCTGGGTGTGTGCCTGCGTGCGTGCGTGGGCGTGTGTGTGCGTGCGTGTGCGTGTGCGGGCGTGCGTGTGCGTGTGCGTGTGTGTGTGCGTGTGTGTGTGATGTGTGTTGTGTGTGGTGTGTGTTGTGTGCGGTGTGTTGTGTGTTGTGTGTGTTGTGTGTTGTGGGTGTGGTGTGAGTGTGTTGTGTGTGGTGTGTGTTGTGTGTGGGTGTTGTGTGTCGTGTGTGGTGTGCGGTGTGAATGATGTGTGGTGTGAGTGTGGTGTGAGTGTGTTGTGTGTGGTGTGGTGTGTGTGTGTTGTGGTGTGTGTGTGTGTGGGTGTGTGGGTGTGTGTGTGCGCGTGCGTGTGGGTGTGTGTGTGGGTGTGTGCGTGTGTTGTGTGGTGTGCCGTGTGTTGCGTGTTGTGTGTCGTGTGCCGTGTGGTGTGCGTTGTGTGTTGTGTGATGTGTGGTGCGTGTTGAGTGCTGTGTGTTGAGTGTTGTGTGTGTTGAGAGTTGTGTGATGTGTGCTGTGTGTGCTGTGTGTTGTGTGCTGTGTGCTGTGTGCTGTGTGCTGTGTGTTGTGTGTTGTGTGTGTTGTCTGTTGCGTGTCCGCACCGCCGCTCTCCGCAGTCCTCGGTGCGCCCGTCGCGCCAGTGGCAGCGTCCACGTCCACGGTCGAAGCCCGCGCCACTCGAGCTCCGGGGACGTGACCGTGGTGCCGCGGGCCTGCAGCAGGCGTGGGGCAAACTGCTGGACCGGCATCGGCCCATTCGCAGGCGGGCGCACTGCCTGGCAGGGGAGCGGCAAAGCTCACCGAGGAGAGGGTGCTGCGCAGATGACACATGGCGTCGGCCACACCACAGGGGGGATCCGATCGAGGACCCCGAAGGAGCATCAAAAGTGGAGTGCTCGACAGGAACTTGACCTGCACAGAATCAGAAGAGAGCGCTACGCTGCGGACACGCCGTGTCTGTTACCAGACTCGGCCCTTTCGCGAGGCTGGCTAGACAAGCGAGCGCGGCTGGCATGTGTATGGAGAAATGACGGCCCGCTGCTGAGTTGGCAACAGGGGTAGGCTGTACGAATGACCCAGTGCGTCTAGACACAGTAGCGCCAGAATCTCAGACACATGCAATGTGCACGCTAGATCGTTACAGCCAGCAGTTTAAGTTGTGATTGCGAGCGGGCTGTACCGACTCGTGGTGAGATCCACTTAGCATGAGTCGACTGTGACATATTACAGCCTGTGCGCAAGGCCGTGTCTATTGGCATTTTGCATGGGATACAGATGGTACATTATGTAAAGAGTGAGAGCGCGTGTAGCGTATAAGATTGAATATGTGGCTCCATTATCGTGCTTTCTCTTCCAACTCCATCCCCCCACGCATACCCACACAAACTGTTCCTCCGACGCGCCGCTGGGTGAAAAATTGTGATGAATAGTGTCTTAAACAGTGTTGCAGGCGGCGGGCGCGAAAACACACACACACACACACACACACACACGCTCACATACTTCCTACGATCATTCCCACCGACCAATGGACGTTGCACTAAAAAACGCAATCATCTCCAAAAGAGCGACAGCGTCTGCGGGCCCAGACTGTCGCTTACAACGGCTTGAAACCTACGCTGGCAAGGCACCCTCCTCATAGACGCAATACAGATCCCTCCCAAGTTCGCCGTCCAGTGAAACGAAAAACAGAGACTTGGAGCACCAACCACTTCCTATATGTCAAACTCCTGTCCCAAATCGCCGATTCACAGTTCCGCTCCTCGTGCCCACCACCTCCCCCGCGTGCGCGTGAGCTCCCGGCCACGCATCCAGATGGACCAGTTGCCATCGGGGCCCACCCAATGAAGTTGCTCCTGCGCAAGCGGGCAGGCGGTTCCTCTTCCCCCTCTGCCACTCGTTCACTATCAGGTGGCAACTTGCCAAAGGTAATAAGTACCAGAAACGCGCGATGTGTCATTCCTGCGTGAAAACAAATATCGGAGACCTGTGAAGCAGCTTCACTCCGTTCCCAGCGCGTTTCCTGATTCATGGTGCCGCCAGCACTGTACTTACTGGCATGTTTTCGGCGACGTTGCTTTCCCACTGGCCTCCTCCAAATCGCGCAAATTTGCTCAATGCCTCAGAGCCCTTACTCATTCAAGGAGTAATTGGCACGTCATACTCTTGAAATGAAATCCTTCACGCCAAATCCGCTAGTCTCTGGGATGAAAAATCGTTTGAGGTGATTGGCTGTCCCCTTCCCCCTGTTCCCCCCCCTTGGGATCCGAAATATGATCCAAGGGGCCTTCCTGCGACAGCTCACATCCTGAGCCTGTGGGGCCCCCTCAGCGGCCCACCAGGTCCTAAGGCCCCCAAAATGGCCCAAGATGGCACAATATAGCCCAACACTGCGTCCAAGACTGCACATAGCAGCATCCACAACGGCCACAGGTGACCCCTGGATGGCCCCAAGATGGCCCAGAAACCTGCGAATGAAAGAACCCCAAGAGAGGCTCGAACAAGCGAAGCACAGCGAGCTTCAACTCGTGTATACATATATATATATATGTATATATATATATATATATATATATATATATATATATATATATATATATATATAGGCCGGTGCACCCACCATGAACCCCCCTTTTCTCTTGGAAGATGCTAAGAAAAAAGGGGGGCGGGTGCGGTTGGAGTTTCGGGTGTCACGTCGTGTTGTGGTGGTTGGATCTGGAGTACGTGTGTGTGTTGGAGACGGAGGGAGCCTGTTGAGTCTGGGGTGGTGTGTTGGAGAAGGAGGCTGTTGAGTACTTGGTGTTGTGTTGGAGACGGAGGGAGTTGAGTAGAAGGTTATTTTCAAGTTCAGCTTGGGGAGGGAGCCTGTTGAGTATCGGGTGTTGTGTTGGAGGAGGAGGCTGTTGAGTACTGGGTGTGGTGTTGGAGACGGAGGGAGTTGAGTAGAAGGTTATTTTCAAGTTCAGCTTGGGGAAGGAGCCTGTTGAGTATCGGGTGTTGTGTTGGAGAAGGAGGCTGTTGAGTACTGGGTGTTGTGTTGGAGACGGAGGGAGTTGAGCAGAAGGGAGCTCAACAAGTCTTCCAAAAAAGAGCCTCAAAAGTGAATCCGAAAATAGTAGGAATCATATATATAAATTCATGTATAATCATGAGGAAGGGGGGTCCTTGGTGCAGCTTGGGGAGGGAGCCTGTTGAGTATCGGGTGTTGTGTTGGAGAAGGAGGCTGTTGAGTACTGGGTGTTGTGTTGGAGACGGAGGGAGTTGAGTAGAAGGTTCTTTTCAAGTTCAGCTTGGGGAGGGAGCCTGTTGAGTATCGGGTGTTGTGTTGGAGAAGGAGGCTGTTGAGTACTGGGTGTTGTGTTGGAGACGGAGGGAGTTGAGTAGAAGGTTCTTTTCAAGTTCAGCTTGGGGAGGGAGCCTGTTGAGTATCGGGTGTTGTGTTGGAGAAGGAGGCTGTTGAGTACTGGGTGTTGTGTTGGAGACGGAGGGAGTTGAGTAGAAGGTTCTTTTCAAGTTCAGCTTGGGGAGGGAGCCTGTTGAGTATCGGGTGTTGTGTTGGAGAAGGAGGCTGTTGAGTACTGGGTGTTGTGTTGGAGACGGAGGGAGTTGAGTAGAAGGGAGCCCAAAAAGTCTTCCAAAAAAGAGCCTTAAAAGTGAGTCCGAAAATCGTAGGAATCATATACAAAATCAGATACAATCATGAGAAAGGGGGGTTCTTGGTGGGTCACAGGGCTATATATATATATACACACAAGACTGCAGTGGCGCTTCGCGCCATGCACCTTGGTCCTGGAAGTGTGGTACGCAAGCGAAATTGCAGGAAGGTCAAGCCGACAATTTAGCGATAACTCCTTGTTGCCTTTTCCGGCATCCCCGCTATAATAATGTGATTCGTTATCCTTCCTCCATGTTTCTTTTCCTCATTTTCGCCATACCCTGCGCATTCTCCCCATCCTCCTCAGCTCTTTATTGCGGAGGCTCCTCCTTGGAGAGCCTCTGGGGGCCTCACAAAAGTTGTTTCAGGCTTTCTTAATGCTTTCAGGAGACCTCCTGGGTGTATTCTGGGGGCCTCTGGGGGCTTCCTCGGGCCACCCTGCCTCCAACCGCGGTCTCCCTGAACGACCGGGTCACGATTTGGAATGCTTCGGAGGGTGTCTAGGGGCCATCTTGGGCAGCCATGGGGCTCCCTGAGGGCCATCTTGGACCCGTGTTGTGCCGTTTTGGGGCTCTCTCGGACTGCCTGGAAGCCCTCTCGGATGTTTGTGGGGCGATTTTGGAGCCTCCCGGGCGGCTTCGGACGCCCAGAAGACCGCCGTCTTGGAGCGTCAGGAAGCCGAAAAGAGGAGAACCCCAAAATCCACCAAAAGCCACAGAAAACTAATGAGTTTTGCCTCTTGGGGCCTTCTTGGGAGTGCTATTGGAGGCCTCTTTGGGGCCGTCCTGGAGGCCTCTTGGACCATCTTGAGGTCACGTCGGTCACTCTTGGAGCGCTCTTGTGCTGTCTTGGGGGTCTCTGGGACGTCTCCGATGACCCGCCTGATCGCCCCAGGTGTGCTGCGAAGGCTTGTCAAAACGCCCTGCAAGGCCCGGGGGGCCGCTTCGAGGCCCGTCCGGAGGGTTCCAAAGCCCCAAATCCTGGGAGTCCGGTTTTGGGGGGGGGGGGGGACGGGTTTTCCCCCCGCCCGGGCTTATAAAAATATAGGAAGAGGAATATACATACATACATACTCACATACATACATACATACATACATACATACATACATACATACATACATCGGAGGTGCGGAGGTGAGATCGAAGTGGAACGGAGAGCCCCCCTACCGGGAAATCGATTTCGGTTTCGTGTTCGTGCGTGCCGTGCGTGCGGGCGAGGCGAAGCTGCGTGGGCGGGCGAGAAGAAAGTCTCCTGTGGCTGAGGCGCGGCCGGACCAAATGTCTCCCTTCCGGGCGGCCGGGGGCCCGCGGTGTCCCGCCGGTGTCCCGCTGGTGTCCCGCTGGTGTCCCGTGTGGCTGAGGCGCGGCCGGACCAAATGTCTCCCTTCCGGGCGGCCGGGGCCCCGCGGTGTCCCGCCGGTGTCCCGTCGGTGTCCCGTCGGTGATGATGATGATGATGATGATGATGATGATGATGATGATGATGATGATGATGATGATGATGATGATGATGATGATGATGATGATGATGATGATGTTGACAACGATGATGATGATGGTGATGATGATGGTGGTGATGATGGTGAGTTCGGTAGTGAGATCGATAGTGAGACCGAATGTGAGATCGATTGTGAGATCGATTGTGATATCGATAGTGAGGTCGATAGTGAGACCCAATGTGAGATCGATAGTGAGATCGATAGTGAGTTCGATAGTGAGATCGATAGTGAGACCGAATGTGAGATCGATTGTGATATTGATTGTGATATCGATAGTGAGATCGCTAGTGACATCGAACGAGAGGTCGATCATGACTTCGATAGTGAGACCGATAGTGAGATCGATAGTCAGATCGATTGTGAGATCGATAGTGAGACCGAATGTGATATCGATAGTGAGATCGATAGTGAGACCGAATGTGAGATCGATTGTGAGATCGATTGTGAGATCGATCGAATGAGATCGATAGTGATATCGGTAGTGAGATCGATCGTGAGACCGAATGTGAGATCGATCGTGAGATCGATAGCCAGATCGATTGTGATATTTATTGTGAGATCGATTGTGATATCGATAGTGAGATCGTTAGTGAGCTCGAGTGTGAGATCGGTAGCCAGATCGATTGTGAGATTGATCGAATGAGATCGATAATGAGATCGATAGCGAGATCGATAGTGAAATCGATCGAGTGCGACGGTGGTCCCCCCCCCTTCGCCTCCTTATCACCCGAAGGGTGGTCTATGCGGTACATACATACATACATACATACATACATACATACATACATAAATACATACATAGTATAATCCTCTCCCTATATCTTTACAAGCCGGGGAGACGGGAAAAAACGTCCTCCCAAAAACCGGACTCCCCGGGATCCAGTGCTGTGGGGCCCCCTGGACGCTCTTGGAAGAGGTCCCCCAGCCCAGCCGCGCCTCCCAGGGCGCCTTGCCAGGCCTTGCCCAGCAGGCCCAAAGCAATCAGAGAAGTGGTCAAAGACGCGCCAAAAAGCCCCAAGACAGCGCAACTCGGCCCCAAGACGGCCCACGAAGCCCCCAAGACGGCCCCAGTGGCCCCTAAGGCGGCTCGAAAGGCCTTCAGGAGGGCCCCCAATAATCAAAAACCTTTTTTTCCCGTTCCCGCTGGAAAACGTAAGTTTTAGCATGTTCGCACTATGGGTCGCACCAGCGTTCACGACGGCCCACGAAGCCTCCGAGATCGCCTCAAGACGGCCCAAGAGACCAGCAAGAGGGCTGCAAGACAGCCCAAAAGGGCCCCAAGACTGCCCCAAGACGGCCCAAAAGAAACTCACGAGGCCCCCAAAGGCTCCCAATAAGGACCCACTAAGGCCATAGGATGTCCCCGAGAGGAACCCAAGATGACCCCAAGAAGGCCCGCAGACGGCCCAAATTCCACAAGAAGGCCCCAGCAAGCCCAAGAGAGACCCAAGACGGCCCAAACGAGCTTAGCGGCTCGTTTGGGCCCAGGAGGCCTCTAGAGGTCCCCAAAGCCCTTGACAGACATTCGCGAGGCCCGCAAGAGGTTCTCCAACGAGGAGCCCCCACAAAAGACGTGCCCGCGCATGCTGCATCGTGGGCGCTCGCGAGCCCCACGCACTGTAGCCTACAACGGCCTTTTATCTTCGCAAAGTTTCCACAACGCAGTTCCCAACATGTTGTTCCTACCACCTGTCCTGCACCACATGGCTTACATCATATATATATATATATATACCACGACATCGCCCACACGACATCACTCACACTACACAGCTTCCACCACATAGCTAACACCGAAGAGCTTTCCACACATAGCTCGCATCACAGAGTTGCAACAGTATCACTCACATCACACAGTTTTAAGCCGCAGAACTTCCACCGCTGAAGTTCAACACCTCACTCTTCGGGGTCTACGATGGCTATTGTTGTTGTTTGTATACCATTCGGAGCCGCGGGAAGCCGCCAGGCTTCTTGGAGCTTCTGCAATTTTCGGAGGTTTAGGTCCGACGTCCTCCAGAAGACGCTGCAACCTGGAGGGCCTGAAGAACAAATCCTGGAGTGGAGAAAACGAACCCAAGAAACAATTTGTCCTCCATAATGGTAGGTTTACATCGTGTCGACGCGGCGGTGACACCGGAGCGGGCGTTCGAAATGGACGCGGCCAGTGGTCAAGAATCGGCCAGTGTTGAACGGGAATGTGCGATCGTTCACGGCTGAACGATCCAAACGCTGTCAAATTTCAACGCGCAGGCCATTACGACACCCGCAGGCGCAGGATCCAGCGAAGAGGGCACGCGATTTTGGTCCAACGTTTTTTCTGAACCTCCTGGTGGCGTTCCCGTGGCCACGTCATCGGGTCCCCCTCGAAATCCGAATCACAACGCACCCCAAAAAAAATCGGGTGGCGCACGAACATGTAAATCGAGGGCAAGAGCAGATGAGGAACGGGCACGGGGACTTAAAAGGAAACAGACACCAAGTGCGAAGGCCAACGTATACGGAGATTGAGACAAGTGCCAACACATACCAAGAGGATGACGCCAAGTGCCAATGTATGCGAAATTTGAAAGACCAAGGTGCACGGCGCGAAGCAACAAAGCTGCTTCGTATAGCTAGGTATAGTAAACGAACAAGTATGCATACATCTCCATATGCATACACATGCACACATGTACGGTTATAAGTACATATACACATTCACATGCAGATCATTGTACAAGTATATGCATATATAGATGTATGTGGGTGTACATGTACAAGTATACATATAAACATGCACATACTTATATACATATACATGTACAATACATACGCCAATAAGTATATATATATATGCAATTACACAAATAAATGAAAAGTGATACATATATATATACATTTGCACATAATACAAATACGAAAGCGTATACATGCATATACATGTTTGTATACACGTATACATAAACATATGCATATGCATATACAGACACACATACGCATACGCAAACATGTACGCATATATGTATACGAAAAATGTTTACACACCTATACATAAATATAGATAAATACATAAACATATGCATAACAATGCGCATATTCAAATACAAATGCAAATGCATATGCATACCAACACACATGTACATGCACATACACCTATGAATACATACATATATATATATAAATGCACCCGTACACATATACATAGACATGTACATTCATCTACACAAATACAAATACCTACACATCTACAAATACACACACATACACATACTTAGGCGTATATAAATGCATATACATATACCTCTACAAATACATATACATATACATATGCATATGCATATACGTATACAAAACATATAATATCTTCAGAAGCATGTTTGTGGCGGGATCCGAGAATCCTGAACCCAAAATTGTTGTCATCCCTTGGGGGCCAATTTTGCACTTCCGCCATCTTTCGCCAGCCTTCCGCCGGCTTCCGCCTGCGGAGCCGCCGCCCTTCTGCGTCCGCCGTCCTCCGCCAGCCATCCGCCACCATCCGCCGAGGAAGAGATGCCAACTCCTTCGGCCCTCGAGAGCGACGAGTCCCCGTCTGGAACGACCCATAGATGCCAGGAGGGGGCGCCCATCCTCGCTAGGGGTGCGCCCGAGTTCCCCCTCTCGCTTCTGCGCGACCTGACTTCTGGAGGGGGACTTTCACATGAGCGACGATCAAGAACGGGTCTTACGCGAGACGACGTAGCGACCTTACGCTGCGGCTTACGCGGGCCGCCAGCGCGGCACGCCACATTTGAGACGAGGGCGCTTACGCTCGAGCTTACGCAGGCAGCTTACGCGCCAATGTCGGCGCAGACGACCCCGCTTTTTTGCGTCGCGCAGATGGCGCCACTCCTCGGGCTGCCCGAACCGGTCAACTACGAGAGCACACTGTGTGTATGTCTGAAAGGTGTATTGCATCACGAGTAAAACAGCCTTGCCCAAGGCTCTTACAGCCAAAACTGAGAGTGAGGATGCGCGATAAGGATGCACGCCCCTTTGACGCCTGTCGAAGCTTTTCGAGCGGGGCTGGCCATCGAAAGACGTTCAGGATGGAGCGAAGAGGCAAGGATACAATGGTACCCTTAGCATAGTTACCCATTCTTATTGATGTCGACTGCAGTAAGGTCTCGGAGATTGCTGGAAGTCTCTGGCGCTTCTGAGGCCCTCCAGGGTCATCCGGGGGCGCCTATCAAAGTTCAGTGGTCAGGACCTGGGGCGGCCCTAAAAGTTACGATTTCTGTCGTCCTCCTCGATCCCCCTTTCCTCTTCCCTCCCCCTGCGCCTCCCTCCTCACTCCTGCATGTCCTCCTCCCTCTTCTTCTTCTCCTTCTCCGTCTGCTCCTCATCCTCCTCTTCTCCTCCTTCCTCATCATCATCATCATGCTCACCAGAATCATCATCACCACCACCACCATCATCAGCAGCAGCATTAGCATCAGCATCAGTATCATCATCATCAGCATCATCATCCTCATCATCAGCATCATCACCATCATCATCACCATCATCAGCAGCATCATCCTAATCACCATCATCAGCCAGTCCTTCCCTTCCCTGCGCTCTTGTCCCTATCCTCCCCTCCCTCCTCAATATCATCGCCTCACCGTCGTCCCTCCTCCTCCTTCCTCTCGGATTGATCTCTCATCCTCCACCTCCTCATCATCCTCAGCACCACCGATTTACAACATCATCACCATCGTCGTCATCGTCATCGTCGGCATCATCATCATTATCGTCATCATCAGCAGCATCATCATCAGCAATAGCAAGAGCATAAGCATGTTCGTTACAATCAGCATCCTCATCGTGGCAATGTTTTTCGTCATGATCCTCATCACCACGACCACCATCATCATCATCAGCAGCAGCATCATCCTCATCATCATCCTTATCTCATCATCAGCATCAGCATCAGAATCATCAGCATCATCGCCACCACCACCACCACCATCATCGTCATCATCATCCTCATCACGAACATGTTCCAAAGCATTTTGTCGAAAGCATCTTCCACCCTTACCGTGTCATACATCTTCCTTCCCCTCCTCATGGCGGCGCGATCCGCGGTGCTGGTCTCAGCGCTGAGGGTCGAGTTCCCGCACGTCCAGCCTGGCAGTTTCTGGGGGGAAGGTAACTTGCTCTGTCCTCATCGCTAACTTGTCTCAACCACCACGACCACCCCTACTGTTGCCGGCGTTGCCATTGCCACCAAAAGGCTCATCAGCATTGGCATGGCCGATGCTGCTTCCATTCGCGCTCTCAACATGTACTGAGGGCGAGGAAGGCGGGCAAGGGGAGGGCGAGAAAGGGGCGGAGAGGCCAAGGACAAGAGACGAAACGACAAGGAGACAAAAAGAGAGAGAGAGAGTGAAAAACAGAGAGGAAGGGAAGCGAGATGGGGAGCGAGGGGAAGAGAGAGAGAGAGATAGAGAGAGAAAAGAAAAAATATAAGGATACAGGCAATGAATTAAATATCTATGTATGTTGATGTATATACACATATATATATATATACATGTGCATATATATATAGATATGCACATATATGTGTGGATTTAAAAAAAAAAAAAAAAAAAAAAAAAAAAAAAAAAAAAAAAAAAAAAAAAAAAAAAATGAACAAATAGAGGGCTCCCGCCTGAAACTTACTCGCAATCCACTCACAGACGAGGTTCCCGCTTGATACTTCGCACATATGCAGGCCTGAGGAGCTCAAAAATGAGGAGAGTTAGAAGTTGCTGGATGGCTCGCTCAGCTTACTAACATTAGCTGCGGGCCCCATAGGGACGGCCCGCCTGAGACTTCCTCGCAATTCACTCACAGACGAGGGCCTCGCGTGATACTTCCTGTGACGACAGCTACGAATTTTGGGATGACCCGCTCGGATTACTAACATGAGCTGCGGGCCCCATGGGGAAGGGGCTCCCGCTTAAGACTTCCTCGCAATTCACCAACAGACGAGGCTCCCGCTCGAGACTTCCTCCCAATGAGGTTGTGTGAGAGAGTGAGCGGAAGAATGCGTGCAGTGCTGATGATGCTGGTAATTATGATGGTGATGATGATTGTGGCGGTGGTGATGCTGACGAACGATGGTCGATGATCATGATGGGATGGTGGTAGCGATAATGATGACGGTGGTGGTGTGATAGTGGTCATGATGGTGATGACGATGATGACGATGATGACGATGCAAGGTGAGTGATAATGATGAGTGAAATAGCCAGTGCATCATGAGCGAGTGAACGAGAACAGATGACGATGCGTATGCTGGTATGGATGATGATGATGATGGTGATGATGGTGATGATGACGGTGATGATGACGATACTCACGATCATGATGTGAGGTGACGATGATGACGATGATGACTGTGGCGGTGTGATGATGATAGTGATGATGGCGATCGTAGTCGTGATGAGTGTGGTATGTGATGATGAAGGGAGGGGTGGGTGGGAGGACTGCGCGGGGTGTCCAGAGAAAAGAAGGCACCCGCTTAGGATGTGGGGAACCATAAGCATCCACGGAACCTCCGCCCCACAACCCACAAGCGGTGGCGGGACTCATCCCAAACACCTGCTAGATTGGCACACGCTCGTTCCAAAATGTTCGCCGCTTGCCTTTTCAGACTTCCGACCCCATACGACGGCCCAAAAGATGTCGCACGCTAGCTCAAACCGGACCGTCGCGCCGTGTCTCCCCACTCCTCGCATTCACTCTGCGCGTCTTCTTCCACCTGGGACCTAATCGTCGCGTCCTTCTCATCTTACACCCCCCCTCCCTCCCTCCTCCGTCCCCTCTTCTGCCGCCTCCTGCGCATGCTCCTCGTCTTCATCTCTTCCTGTTTCGTCGCCTCCACCTCCTCCTCCTCCTCCTCTTCCTCATCATCATCATCATCATCATCATCATCATCATCATCATCATCATCATCATCATCATCATCATCATCATCATCCCCCTCATCCTCCTCCTCCTCCTCCTCCTCCTCATCCTCCTCCTCCTCCTCCTCCTCCTCCTCCTCCTCCTCCGCCTCCTCACCCTGTTCCCATTTTTGCGCACAAATCCACGAGTTCCCATACTCGTTGACACCGTCCGGCAGGCCCGCAACTCCCCGACCTCGGCAGGCCCACGAACGCAATCACCAGAAGCGTAGAAGCTCATTGACCCTTACTCCTCCCTACGCGTTACCTCAGCTTCACGCCACAACCCTGCATCGCGCCCACCTTAATTTCACAGGGTGCGACAGTTGGTCACTTCAGAATTGCTGACGCGCTCAGGAGCAGCGCTCACAGGTAGCCTCTTGCCGCATGGGCCCGAGCACCCAAACGCCTCCCAAGATCTTGCCGTGTACCATTCCTCTGCACAGCCCCTGCACACCACAATTGCCCCCCTTCTTCCAAGCGGTGTGTTCGCTGGTCCTGGGTGCTGTGCTCCTGCCACGCCACTGCAGACACCAAACGGGTCGGAAGAGGCCCCCCAAAGCCCAAAAGAGGCCCCCAGAGGTTCCCCAAGAGGCCCGAGAAAGCCTCACCCGTGGACTCTTCCCTCCCCTGGGGGCAGGCATGATTGCGCAAGCCACTTGTAGAAGCAGGAAGTGGAGGGCGGGGCAGGGGAGGGGAGAAGACGGGGGGGGGAAAGGGCGAGAGGAGGACGGAGCAGGAGAAGGAGACGAAAGAGGCGAAGGAGCACGAGGGCGAAGGCAAGGAGCGACGACGAGGCGGCAGCCGTCGTCCCGGGGCGGGCGGCGCACCGCCGTCGTCTAGCGGCCGCATGGCCAGGTGGAGGTCTGCTCGGGGCGGGCGGGACAGGATCGCCGCCTGGGCGCGGCACTATTCCGCCCGTTCTCTCCTCTCCCGTCCCCCCTTCCCCTCCCCATCTTCCTCATCCTTCTCCTCTTCCTGCTCCTTCTTCTCCCCCTCCTTCTTCTCCTCCGCCTACTCCTCCTCCTCCTCCTCCAACTCCTCCTCCTCCTCCTCCTCCTCCTCTTCCTCCTCCTCCTCCTCCTCCTCCTCCTCCTCCTCCTCCTGCTCCTCCCACTCCTCCTCCTCCTCCTCCTCCTGCTCCCCCTACTCCTCCTCCTCCTCCTCCTCCTCCTCCTCTCCTCCTCCTCCTCCTCCACCTCCTCCTCCTCCTCCTCCTCCTCCCCAATCCTCTCCTCTCTCCTCATCATTCTTCTCCTCCTTTTTAATAATTCTCCTCCTCCTCCTCACCTCCTCCTCCTCCTCCTCCGCCTCCTCAGCAGCAGCAGCAGCAGCAGCATCATCCTCAGCATCACCATCATCAATCAGCATCAAAATCATCATCAACATCATCAGCAGCATCATCATTATCAGCTGTTCACGTCATAAGCATCATCCCACCCGACATACGGAAAGATACCCCTACCCTTCAGGCCATCAGAGCTACACTATGACACTTCTCCTCCTCCTCCTCCAACTCCTCCTCC